ATGCGTTATGCTTTATGCAAAAGTCTGTGCTCCGGCCAATACGGTCAAGTTGACCGGGTCAACACACAACATATAACGGCACTGGATCTCCATCACCGCACATGCGCAGAGCCGCTCATGCGCATACAACCGATCCCATATCGCAACACTGCACCGAACCAGATGGTCGCAAGAGGGGAGACCCTTCAGAACACGCCATATTTAACTTAACTTAATTTTGAGTTAACTGATCATATAATTATTTCTTTTTGTGATAATACGGACACGCTTATACTGAATAAAATTCAACAAAATTGAAAAAACAGACAAATTTTTAGGTATATGGTTAGATAATAATCTTAAATTTAATAAATGTATTGAACATATGCGTAATAAAATAAATAAGGCTCTAAACGTTCTTAGATATGTTAGCAAAGATATATTCTTAGATATGTTAGCTGAGGAAAGGTCAACATTTTGTTAATGATGTACAAAAGTTATATATACTCCATCCTAAATTACGGTTTATTCATGTATTTCCCTAATATTTATTGGAAGAATTAAAGAGGAAGAATTAAATTAGAAAAAGTTCAATATAAGGATTTAAGAATAGCTTTAGGATATAAAAACAGCACACCAAACAACGTTGTTGTTACCGAAAATTATGTTATTAGAGGACCATGCAGAATATTTGGCCATAAATTTTTGTACAAAAATAATTGTTTATGGAGACAAAGAATTAAAAGAGAAGGACAGATTACAAGAGTTTGAGAGAAGATATAGACTTTGTAATATAAGAGGACATATCAATATTCTTATGGAAGCATGGCGAAATATTAGTAAATATAAAGATGAAATAAACCAAGGAAAAAACTTTGAGCTATTAGAATAACTACTAGGCATCTACTTTAGATATTAATATAGATTGTAAACTAAGATCTGAGAGAAGAAATGAAAACATTACAGATAGCAAAATATTATGCAATTTTCAAAATAAGTATAATCTCAAAGAGGATATTTAATATTGTACACTAACGGATCTAAAATAAAAGGGAAAAATGAAGATAGTTATAGAAGAAAGAAATGTAAAATATAAAATAAGTATTAAAATTGACAATAACTTATTCATGTTTATCATCTTATTCATTCATATTAATGACAAGTGCTCAATCTTCATTGCAGAAGCATTGGCTATAGAAAAAACTATAAGATTAGCTAGGAAGTGATCAAGTAGATATTTCAATATTAACTGATACGTTGAGTGTAGTAAAGGCATTAATAAGTTAATAATCGTATGTCCTCTGGTGAAAAATATTCTCAGAATTTTTCATAAAAATTTTCAGATTTTTCACAAAAATTTTATAACTTTTTCAGAAAATTTTAAGATTTTTTATATGAATTGGCACATTTTTCAGAAAAGTTCAGAAAAGAAATAAAAATATATGAAAATATATGAATAAATTCATTATTTCTCATATTTTCCAGATCTGTATATATTAAAGCCCGTGTCCACGATGCAAGAAATTGGTTCGAGTTCTTGGCCCAAAATGGTTGGATTGCTTCAAGAAATGTGTAACCAATCAACTTGCTGTTTTTCCATAAGAACTTCAATTTAATTGGCTATACATTTCTCGGACCAAGAACTTGGACCAATTTCTTGCATCGTGGACACAGGCCTTTGGAAATATCAAATATTTTTACAAGTTGAAAAATATACGATTTATCAGCTTTTATTTTTCTACCTTATCTTTGAATGCATTTCATTTAGCAATGTAAAAACGTGTCATTCTATATTTATTTTCTAGTAGATATCGAACATAGAATGTCACGTTACATACATGTTAATACATGTTTTATTCTGTGTTTGACATCCAATGAAAAAGATAGAATAGAAATATATACTTGCGTTAATTTGTACCGTTAAATGAAATGTACTCAAAGGCAGGGCAAAATATGGAAGCTGATAAATCGTAAATTTTTTTTAGAAATATTCCGTTAAATAGAATACAGAAAAATGTACCTTGTTACAACACATACTCGCATACATATACATTTAAAAATTCTATAAAAAATATATAATAATTACAAATATTGAATTTATTACATTTCATACATAATAAATATAAAAACCGCTTATAAAATATAAATTGTAATTATAACATATTATTGGCAAAAATAATTTTCATAATAATTATTATTATAACGCTTGCAGCTATACAGCTATCGAACATTATTACATCAGATTCCGTAATCTTAAAAA